CCTTGACATCTAATTAAATTTAAATATAATTTAAATATTATAACTTTATGATAATTAAGACACATTTCTGAATTAAGACAATGACTTTACAACTAACACATACGTACACATTCATGTTTTTCTTCCCTTTGGTTTTAATATTTTCAGAAATCTTACATCTTTAGAGTTGGGTCAGATGAAATTAATGACAGAATTTTAACTGCTAAAAAAATAATAAACAGAAGCCACACTGTTCAGAAAATTCTTAAGACTGATCTGCAGACAATTTTCTGGTAAAACAATTCCTTGGTTTCATACTTGTAGGCTGACAATTAGGATTTCAAAAGTAAGCTGCACTTGTTAAGTAAAGCAGTATATTATCTTCAGTGAAAGAGACATGTTCATCAAGTTTATAGCTGCAAATAAACTAAGTTTGGGGTATTAAGAAAAAATGGTAATTCAAGTAAGAAATTTAAAATAAGAGTAACAGGAACTAGTAAAAGGAATGAACAGGCAAATGAGGCAAAACCTTGATATTTTTATAAGGAAACTGAAGACTATTCTTATTTTCAAGGGATGTGAGATAGGAAGGAGAAAACTAAACAAAGACATGTTCAAGGAACAATGGTACAAAGAGAAAAATATTAAAGGTAGAGGTTATTTTACATAAAGAAGAAAAATATTTTTTAAAAATTTAAAAGATCTATTAGACTAGAAATTTAAACATATTAAGGAATAAAAGGAGAAAGTTAATAGGCAACTTTATTAGATGAGAAGGAAGAGATGAAACAAATGACACTGAAGGGCAGCAAATGTTCTCTATCTCCAGAAACAGCAACAGGTAATACATAATTGGGTATGATGAAAAACAAAGCCAGAATAGAGGAGATTTGTAAAATGATGGTTTAAAAAATTTACTTTTATTGAAACTATAAATCTAAGTAACTTATACTCTAGGATACTAAAATAATTAGTTTAAATCACTCTGGGGCCATTAGCTACATTTGGGAACTCTTGGAGAACTGGAGAGGAAAAAAAAAGGTTAGGAAATAATCTCAGAAAATGACATGAATTCAACTTAACCTGACTAAGCAATAAAAGAAATAAAATCATGCATAAATATAGCATATAACTGCTGTACAAGTCATTGGGATACCAGAAAATAAAGAATAAATCTTTTAAAACTAACCATTTCACAGTGTAGCAGGTCTGACAGAAAAAAATTAGATCTATCTATCTTACCTAGTAAAGTTTTAGATTTTATTTCACGTGACAGTCACTACAAAACAGAGAAAATATGGTCTGGATTACACAACTTTTGGCACATTCAGATTTAGCCTTTCTCAACTATGAATCTGAGAGAGAATAAGCCCCAATGCCCGTATCCACTGAGGATAATGAATTAACTTCTCTCCCATGTATCTAGAACGGTGCTAGTCATATACTTTCCCTGACAGAATTTTGAAAACAGTTGCTGAAATAATTGTCTGTGTTGTTGTTGAAATAAGGAGCCCAGTTGAGAAAGGCTGACAAAGAGTTAACATGGAAGAGAATTATTAAGTTTTTTCAGGAGTCATCGAGGTATGTACAGCATCATCAGTAATGACCAGAGAGAAGGTTCATCAGGTTTACAGATGTTATAAAGTTGAGGATCAGCATTTAGAAGGACATGATGCAAGAATTTGAAAATTCTGGTAAATTAGAGAAGTTCAAACAGCAAAATTAAACATTCAGGGAAAAAATAAAAGATACGAGATGTGGAAATTAACTGTCATTTAGGAATATAACTAACAACATTTGAGTATTAAAGTGAATATTGTGAACTAAAGTAAAATTTTAAGACTCACCCCCCACCGGCTGACTAAATGGAGCCTCTCCTGGCCAAAGGAATATCCTAAAACTAATTGCCTGCCAGGAGGAACGAGGTCAGACATGCCTTATCATGCCACCCTCCCTTCTTGGGGACATCCTTTATAACCCATTAACAGGCCTAAGGGTAGGCAAGACAAACCTGCAGGTCCTTACTCTACACAACAAACATGTCCAGTGGCTTGTCTCTGATAAACAGCTTCTTACGTTGAAACATTGCAAGCCTTTAGACAAAGCTTCATGTCTTTAACCAATTACAAGCCAAAGAATCTTTAAACCTACCTATAACCTGTAAGCATCACCCTCGCCCCTTGGAGATGGCCCACCCTTTCAGGCCAAACCAATGTATGCCTCCCCTGTATTGATTTATGACTTTACCTGTAACCCCTGTCAGCCTGAAATGCATAAAACCAAACTGTAACCCAACCATAGTGAGTCCACTGCTCAAGACCTCTTGGGCGTGGCTCCAGGTCATGGTCCTCAAATTTGGCTCACAGTAAATCTCTTTAAAATTACTTTACAGAGTTTGGTCTTTTTTCCGTTGACAAGATGAAGACCAGAACTGAAAAAGCCAAACTAAAGCTCAAACTAAGATGTGAAAAATCCTTATTTCATGCTCTGAGTCAGGCAGGCAGGGACATATTTTTAGTTGTGAATTGTGGGCAGAGAATTTGAGAAAGTTCATTAAGGATTAACAGGCTGGGAAAGGCATATACAAGGATCTGAGTTTATTTAGGGAGAAGACAAGGATGGCATCATAATAGTTTTCAAATACAAAGATTCTTAAATAAAAATTGCTGAATAACTAAAAAATCTCTATTCTGGGAAGAAAAGAACAAACATAAACCACAGCAGGGCAGTTATAAGTTAGACAAAGGTCCTCTTAACAGTGAGAATTATTAATCATTTCTAATGTATGCTATGATAACATACAGAATTACCATTCCTAGAGATCTTTAAAAAATAAAATACTACAAGTTCTTAATTTTAGAGTTTAGATTCGATTATTCTAGAAGGTGAAATTTATCATTTCTTATGATATTGCTGTTGATATAAAGCAGGAGTTGACAATTTTTTTCTTACAGGGCCAGACAGTAAATATTTTAGGCTTACAGGCATATGATCTTCTTTACAACTATTCCAACTCAACTGTTTACTGTGAAAGCAGCCATAGACAATACATAAACAAAAGGGATTGGCTGTATAATAAAAGCTTTATTTACAAAAACTGGTAGCCTAGGGGCCATAGTGGGCTGACCTCTACTATAGAGGGTTTTGGCAGTGATAGATTTTTGGACTGGGACTAAAATTACTTTGCATGCACATTAGACAACAGTTAATTTGATATTATATACTAACCAAAGTAATAACTCATGACAAAAATACTTTCCTAAGAAATTAGAACGATACAGCAAACAGAATCTGAATATAATAATTAATGTAGGCTCTATGACTATCTCTGGCATGATAAAACTTTCAAAAAATTTCAAGTAAAATCAATGTTAAAATCAAATAGTTTCATAAGCCTAAGTATATTTCATGCAATCCTAGATTTCAGATTGCTGTTGGACCAATGCATTGGAAAATTTAAGACCTTCATTATACACCCCCTCCCCAAATTTCCTGGTGAATTACAATAACAAGAGATACCTTAAGAGGTGTGAAGGCAGAAGAATGAGGCAGCATAGCAGCACAGCCCACTTGATTCAACCCTGACAGCGACTAAATTTCAAAGGAGAAAGAGAGGAAACAGAAGGCAGCATTTATGTTAGCAAAATGTCAGGCAGGCAAATCTGACCAGTGAAATTAGAAAAGGAAAGGTCATTGACAAAGTTTCAACTGGTTTACTAAGATAATGACAAGGCAGAAAGAAAGTATTTGGGGGAAAAAATCCATCATTTATACATGTTGTTTTTCCACCAGTATAAATCCAGGATATTCTCAATACCTCATACCATATTAATCAAGAAATGATGGGCATGATTTATTAAAAATGATTTCATATAGAAATAAGACAGAAAACATCAACATCTTTAGTACAATAACCTTGAAGCTAATGAGTCCTGTGCTGTTCCTATGATGGAGGAAATAAATCCAAAGAGCTCATTTTAACTGAGCAGAACAGGCATAAATAAGAACAATATTTTTTCAATATGAATCCAACTAAATTTATTTTAATTCAATTTAATGGCTCTGATGTGAGAAGATAGGACGTGAGGATTCTGCATCAGACCTTAAGGATGAACAAGCATTTCATTTTTGTCTCTATGAAATTCCAAATGACCTCTAAAAGAATAAGGTGGAATTTTTCTTTTCTTTGAGCCTTTTATATTTCACCAAGCAACATACGACTGGTTAAGCAGATTGGAGATATAGTTAGATATATTAAATGTTAGAATCTATTGTATATATGTACATAATTATCATCTGTCAATTAAAAATAAAAATAAATAAGAATCTATTA